GATGCATGGCTCATGTTGGAAACCTGTTGGCTCATGTGAGCGATCCTGAGCTGTCTCGGTGCCATCAGTGTCTCGGTGCCACCATGCCTTCCCTGAAGAGGCCTGCCAGTGCCCCTGCAAAAGCAAAGTGCAAGGCCAAAGCCAAGGCCAAGGCCAATGAGCCCCAGGCCAAAGCTGTGCATCCATTGGTTTGGAGCAGTTGCAAGAGAGCATGGGTGGGCCTGATGGCTTTGTGCCTGCAAACCCAAGCTTGGCTGCCATACATGCCACTGTGACAGAGGCATGCCAGGAGGCTTTGGCTGCCAAAGCTGCCCCGGACGCTGCGCCTGCTGCTCCTCGCCCATGGTGTCCTGACCAGTGGACCGAGGATAACCGGACCTGGTGGCGTCCTTGCAGGTTGTGCTCTAAGAGGTACTACTGGCGGGTCGGCTGTATGAGCACAAAGTGCGTTTCAGGGACTGGGACTGGGAGGGAGGCACTGCAAGAGACGGACTGGGAGGGAGCTGAAACATGTTTTTCCCTGTTGTCTCAGGCTGACGAGCTGGCCAAGGACAAGAAGAAGGGCAAGAAGAAGTGGAGCAAGCAAGACTGGATCGACCCTGAACTGAAAATCATGGGGGGAGGATGTGGTCACTGAAAAATAATGCAAAACAAGACAACCTATAGGGAGCCCGAAGGAAGGAGGGAGGGAGGAAGGGACGGCAACTTGTAATGCCAACATCCCAAGCTGCCACCCGAGGACTGGGATGCAGCTACATTTGCTCCTGGAGGTGTTTGGGATGGCTCTGGACCTTCCAACATGGCAACCTGTGTGCATTTCAGTTGTTTTAGAGTTTGCACTTGGCACCCTGAGGGAGGGAGGGTGGGGTGCCAAAGACTAATTAATTCATAGAAGCACATTTATGCAAGACCATTGTACAGCATGGTGAGGGAGGGAGGGAAAAAACCACCATGATACCTGCCAGGTACGACCTGTACCTCCTCCTGTGCCTCCTCCACCGAAACCGCCAGCGATACCACCTGCAAGGCCACCAAACATGAAATTCGGAGGCTTCAAAGCCATGCCTGTCCCCAAGCCGGTTGTGAAAGCACCTGCAGCCAAAGCTATGCCAAAGACCACTGACCACCCCCCAAAGCCTGTGGGGTGGTTTTTGGTCAATTCGACGGTGACAGTGGCAGAAGTTTATGATGTGGCCGACCAGCCTGCCGCTCCCATGTTGCCTCCTCCTCCTACAAGGAATGAGGCAGGCTATCGTGCGTATGCTGCAGCTATGCATAGGCAGCATCAGCAGGAGTAATTGGCATGTGCAGTTGGCAATATGGAAAAACACATTGCATGCTGGCAGGGTGTCATGCCAAATACTTGTATGTTGAGGGAGGGAGGGATGGATGGAATGAGGGAGGGATGGAGGGAAGGGGAAGGGAGGGAAGGGAGGGAAGGAGGGAATGGATGGAGGGATGCTAGTTTTGTTTTTGAAAAAAGCACTCGAACTTCAAATGCGCAATATTTGAATGATCTCAATGGGCACCATTTCATGCAAACCTTTTGGAAAAAAACTTTGGTCCCTTGTTGGTCCTTGGTTGGTCCATTGTTTTGATCCATTGTTTTCACTCAATCAAGGGAAATGTACACTCATTTTTTCATTGGACTGGATCACATTTTTTTATATTCATGAAATATTGGCAGTTGCAAAATGTTTGAAACAGGTCCCAAACAGTCCTAGGGAACTGCCATAGCATGTCATGTCAACATGATCTTGAGGATTTGATAGGGTTTGCGCAGTGACTGGCATCCACCAAGTCTGTGTACAATGCCAGTGCTAGAATGTGATGAATGTGGACTGGAGAAAAAACATGGTTGAAAAAATTGAAAATTTTCAACTTTTTCAACTACATGTTAAATGTAAAGTAAAGGAAAAGGGAGTTGAAAAAGTTGAAAATTTTCAACTTTTTCAACCCTGGTTTTTTCTATGAAGATACCCCACTTGTTTATCTTGATGTCTGATTGGCATTGATCCTTGAACATTCTGGTATTTTTACATTTGAGAGAATCCTGGATGGATGGATGGAATTTGCACTTTGCTCCATTTAGATTTGCAGCATTATAGTGCTAGAATATTTTGAGCTTCTCAGCAATGGCTGCAAAGAGGAATGGCCAGAAGGATGTCAAGGCCAAGGCGTCGGCCAAAGGAAAGGCAGCTGCTGCCAAGGCAGCTCCTGCCACTTTGAAGTCTGTGAAGAAGGAGCCTGACTCCCAGGAGAAGGCCTCTTCTGGCCCTTCAGTTGACAAAGCCGCCCAACAAGGATTCATCAACAGCATCAAGTATAGGGCCAACACTAAGAACGATCCTGATGCCCAGACCTTGTTGGAGGCCTGATGTTTAAGAATACAATAATAATATGCAAATTTTATTTTGCATTCAGACCCTAATTAGTAGATTTTGTTTTCCCATTTTTTAACCTTCAGTTTTTCACATTTTGAAATTTGGTAACTTTTCTCAAATCAATCTACTTTCTGTGGCCTTTGCAGGCCTACAATAAGATGAGCTCCACCGAGAAGAAGGCTCTGATTTCGAGATTTCAGGCCCAGGGGGGCTTGAAGAATCTTTCTTGGGCAGCCGAGCTCAAGCAGGAAGCCATTGACTCCACCACTGTGACCTCCAATACTGAGAAGGGCATGTTCACTGCCTCCCAGATTTTGAAGTTCCATGGGCTTGTGGTTGGAGTCAATATCGCCCAGGAGCGGCAGGATGTGGTTCTGAAGGAGCTCCTCAGAGAGAACCGGGAGGAGTTGGGCCTGGATCCCAACATCAACATCGATCAGGTGCATCCCACCATTCCTGAGCTGAGCCGCTACTACTACGAGAAGGCAAGCTCCAGCACCTCGACTTCGAATCAAGTTCAAACCACTGTCAAGACGGACAGCTTGCTCAAGCCCATGATCGCTCATGGGGACGAGAGCACAGGTGTCCATGAGAATCCCGGCTACGCCACCATGAAGGCCTTGCAGTCTGTGAAGGGCAAGGTCGATAAAGAGCTGGCCCTGGCCAGGAGCCTTTTGCTTGACTTGGAGGCGAACGAGACTGAGGCATTTTTGCCAATTCAGGAAGAAATTGCCACCATTTTGAAGGCTGTTGACTCCTGGTTGCTTTTCTGTCGGAAGGCCCTCAACCAGGGAAACAAAGCCAACCCAGACACAAAGCTGGAGGAGCTCAAAGAGCTGGCCTCCCAGCTTGAAACTGTGAAAGGGAGTGGTGTCGTCCACCTGGATGGCTTAAAGGGCGTCCAAAAGAAGCTGAAAGCCTTGCTGTGAAGAGAACGTGCAGGAGGGAGAGAGAAAAACGACGGTAGTAGTAGTCGTAGTAGTAATGTAGTAGTAGTAGTCGTAGTAGCAGTTGCAGAAGTAGTGGTAGCAGCTGTAGCAGAGCAGCAGCGGCTGTAATGGTGCGGACGCTGTGAAAAAGACTTAGCACTAGCCTTGGCAGGGGAAACTCATTGTCCGGGTATAATTCGGATATGATTCGCGGGTCTGATTCGGCTAGGTGCAAAACGGCACTGATTACAGATTCTGATGTATGTGGTAGTGAGTAGTAGTAGAAGTAGAAGTAGAAGTAGTAGTAGTAGTAGTAGTAGTAGCAGTAGTAGTAGTAGTAGTAGTAGTAGTAGTAGTGGTAGTAGTAGTAGTAGTAGTAGTCAAGGTTGTAGTCGTAGTAGTAGTAGTAAGTTGTAATCGTAATAGTTAGTAGTAAGGATAGCAGAAGTAGAAGTAGAAGCAGTATAGTAATAGTAGCAGCGGTAATAGCGGTGGTAGTGGTAGTAATACTCGTAGTCGCGGTATAGTAGTAGTAGTAGTACTAATTGGAATAGTAGGAGTAGTAATAGGAATAGTAATAGTAATAGTAGTAGTAGTAGTAGTAATAGTAGTGGCAGAGGTAATGGCAGTATTGGATAGCGCTGATGGTAAAGACAATAAACAATACAAAACGGTAGAAGAACAGTAGCATCTTGCAAATACGTTTTATGCATTTTAAGGGGTATGATTGGGGGGGTATAATTAGGGGATATGATTGGGAGGATATGATTGGGGGGTGTGATTAGGGGGGTATAATTGGGGGGTATAATTCGGGGAAACCCCACCTTCTGCCTTTTAAAGCAATTCAACACACCAAAAAAGGACAAACCCATATACCCCGACTCTTTATCTGGAAAACACAATAGCTTCATTCAACGACTACGAATAAAGAAATATATACCTAGACTCTTAATCTAAAAAACACAACGACTTCGGTTCAAAACCCGGATCATTTTTCCAAAATATCCCGAATATTTCAATAATAACATTTCCTAAATAGTTTAAAATATTTCCGAAAAATAATCTCCGAAATATTCGGAATATTTCGAGCAAATAGTGAGTAACTACAATTCCCGGACCGCTTTCCCAAAATATCTAAAATATTTCGAGAAATTAATTCCTATAACAAAATAAAGCCACTAAGTCTTCCGCATACATGCCGGAGTAACCCGGACAAATTTAGGCAAACAATCTATAAGAAATATAAAGTAATTACATCTTCCAAGAGCAATCCAGACCAATTTTCCGAAATATCCGGGATTTTTCGGGAAAGCGATGCGGAAAAACGCACACAAGTGCGACAAGCAAATTTCACAATTTCGTTTTATACAATAAATATATATATATATTATTATTACAATCAATCATATATCAACACAAAACCACCAAAACCCAAAAAAAACATTCTTTTTCACAATTTTTAAATCCACCAACATATTCATACATGCTTTTTAGCATAAATTCATTCACAAATTCTCTATATGTATACTATCTATTCTTCTAAAACAATCTGTTAGAGCTATCTTTACGTATACGTTATTTTATAATTCTGTTAATTTCCGAAGTACGGAAATTCCTTCTAAGTTTGCTAAAATATCTAATAGAGTATATCTGTTTAGAAACATGTGTTCATGTAAAATTTCTATTTGCATCCTTTCAGGATCAGCACATTTGCTAAATATACATTCATGAATCATTCGCTAGCAATTTCCTTCAATGCTGGCACTGATTTGCAGGATACATGAGCTGCACAACAAGGGTACAAGAATGCAGCCAAGCGTCGTTCTAGCAGGTCGCGCCTGAAGCGCTCAATGTGCAAGAAAGCATCCCAACGCCCTGGAATTTTTTCATTGGCAGGCTTGAATCTCTTTTGCAGCCAAGTTTAGGTGCCTTTCACTCGCTCCCTGAGAAGCTTGCGCGCTCTTGCGGCTGCGGAGGGCTTCCAACTCCACCTCGCAAGGGTGCACAGAATTGCTTTGGACATCTTTCGTCGTGACGCATCAAGCACAATGCACCAGTCACAAGCACATGCTGCCGCGCATTTTGCTCGCCTGGTCCAGCCTTCAAATCACCCCAGTCCTGCGACAAATAACAAATGTAGCGACAACGAAATCAACATTGTCCAAACCGGACTGGCGGTTGGCTGCACAGTGGGAAGCAACGCATCGTATCAGGCAAAAATGGCTTCATCACAGGAACTCTGGCTCCAGGAACCGCCTAGACAAAAAAATGCAGTCTGCTTGTCTGGCATATTCATCTACACATGATTGTGCGTGAAAAAGGATACTGTGTGCTGCGCCTGCCACGAAATCTGCAGTCCTAATACTGCCCCTGATAAAGAAAAACCAGGGGGCATACGCGGGCGTGCGCGACAACTTCCAGTTCCCTTAGAGCCTGCTTGAATGCTGCCCCCCAGCACTCACATGTCCAAAGTGTTGCGCTTGTGACTGCGTGACTGAATGCGTGAGCGAGTGAGTAAGTGATTGAGTGAGTGCGTGAGTTCGTGAGTGTGAGTGAGAGTGAGTGAGAGTGAGAGTGAGTGATTGAGTGAGAGTGAGAGTGAGTGATTGAGTAAGTGAGTAAGTGAGTGATAAGCACATTGGTAAGGTGTGATTCGAATGTGTATTCTCCCATCGCACACCAGACAAACCTCCCGTGCTTGCCTCAACAACTGGCCCAAAGTGTCCTTCTCAGCCTTCAAGCCGGGCGAGAAGGACCGCACCTCGAAGCGAGGGCTCGCCTTCACCTGCCAGGATCGCATTGGCAAACTCTGTTCGCGTTCAACGGGAGAGTTGCGATGCGAAGAGAACACGGCCCTCACTGCCTGAGCCATGCCATGGTACAGAAGCGAAACTGACGAGTCGGCCACCTGCAGTGCACACATTGCACTCAAAGATTGCTCAGGCGCCCTTCTTGCTTTTCTGCGGCAACCAAACTCTTTGGAAATCGTTCGGCGTGGACGATGGACATTGATTTGCAGCCAGAACGATGGCAATTGCTCGGAGTCTGTTCTGAAACAGCCACTTGCAATCATTGGCAGGTTCAAAGGAGCTCTTTAGGCAATGGCTTCATCCTACAAACTCGCCCTCTCTCTCTCTCTCATATATATATATATACACACAAATATATATTTATTTGTGGCGAGAACCGTCATGTTCAGATAGCCCATGTGCCTCTCCCGGTTGCAGCACACGAATGCCTCAGCGGGCTTACGTGAAAATCAGAAAATCGTGTAGCGGCCCATCCAAAAGCGACTTTGGAATGCCCGTAGATGCGCGAAAGCATTTGCACAAAAGTCAGCTTGCCAGACAGAACCCTGGGTAGCAAGCAAGCTGCAAGCAAATCATTGCCATAGCCTGGATTCCCTGTGAAGACGTGCAAGCTAAGATGAAAGGATGCCAGCTAGCTCTTGCTTGCCTGGTGAACTTTTTCATCTGTCCTGAAATAGGAAATTTAATTGACATTTTGACGAGAAAGTGTCATTAGGACAAAGGTTTCACCGAGCGGCAAAACATGAGGTGCCGGCTTTGCTGGCACTTCGCGAATGCTCAGTCAGATTGCTGGTTTATCGATGAAACTTGCAGGCGTTTTCAAATTGCAAATGGCAGTATTTACTGTTTTGTGAGGTGGGCTGATTGCGCCTTGTGGCTCGGCTTCGTCAATGCCTTGTAGGCGATGCTGAATCCAACCAAGCTGCTCTTGACCGGCGCAGCTGGAGCAATCCTTGCACACGTTCACACACAGGTCCCAGTAACAACATCAGCAACTGATTGCAGTTCTGTGTTCAATTTACTGCTTGTGTAAGGATGCAAGAAACACACATCTGGCCTTGCTTTGCTTTGGGGGTGCCCTAAGCACATCCCTGTGTTGGGTCATGGCTGAGTCGGCGGCGTTTGTCGCCCACAGACACAAACATACAGACACAGACACATCTACACCCCGCACTCTCTATGCCACGCCTTGGTGGCAGGCGCAGCGTTGCGGCGACTTGCCTCAGCCCGGCTGAGACAAGCCCAATTTATTTCCACGCTAAGGAGTCATGCCGGAAATGAGTTGCAAAATGATCGTGGAATTCTTTGAAAGGCAAGAGGATGAATCATCACTTCCAACCTGTCTCACTAGGCTTGTCAAACTTGCTTCGCAGGCTTTCCGCAGCACACAGAAAAACGCTCTGGTCTGCAACCAGAAAGCAAAGGTAACACACGTACATGCCTGAAATGTACCCTTCCTGACTGGAGCCGATAAAAGGAGGCCCGAGGTCAAGGCTGACCAGGCAACGTGTGCAGCGAGCCGCCATGGAGGGTCCTTGAGGCTTTTATGGTTGCGTGTATGATCTAGAAGTCACGTCAAGGGACCAATCTCGGGGCGGGGGGGGGGAAGGATTGTCAGGTAGGCTTGCAGCTGCTGACGCGCAATTCTTTGCGCTGAGATCAAATGTCCAATGGCGGGGTCGGTTGCGAAGGGCCCCTCTGGCTAGGGCCATGGTGGCAGCCATGATCTAGGACAGGGCTGAACGCATGGCCCGTACCATCAAGGGCCTGTGTCTACAATACGGCGATCTGGGGCTGCTTGCGGGATCAGCGCTTGGACTTGATGCGCCAGACAGGTCAGGTGTTGTCAAGTGGGTCGGAGGACATTGTCTGGGTCAATACAGGAGCAGGGCGTGGAGGAACCAGAAATGGTGTGGACCTCCACGGATCCGCCTCTTGGGAATGTTGATGGTCTCCTTGGTGGAGATCTGGCACATCCGGTTGCTCCTATTCACTGAGCAAGTGTGGACAGAGCAGAAGCACCCAGACTTGGTTGTTGATGTGGCAGGATCTTGTGCAACACCACCCGGCCGCGTCCGGACTTCCAGCCACCACCTCTCTTGCCAACGTAGGTGAGATAGTTACTGCTTGCGCCAGACCATCACAAGTTGCGTGGGCTGGAAGGTGCTGATGGGCTGCCGCGCAGCAGAGTTGTTGAGCTTGGAAAGGACACGAAGAGTAGGGGTTTTGCGCGCAACTTGTTCCGCGTCCTGCCACAACTAAACCAGGCATGCATAGTCGTCGTCGGGCGATTCAGGAAGCGATGCAAAGGTTCTCACATCTTCATCGGTGATGGAGTAGTCCTTGCCATAGCGCCGCTTTGACGTGCGATGGCCAGGTGTAGAAGCTGGATGGCTGTGCTGTCATCTTCTCGTCAACTTGGCCATCCTTCTCAGCTGCAGGTGCAAGTTGTACACCGATGTTGGACTCTAGCACCGCTCGGCCAGATGCTTGATGATCCCAGACCAATAGACCCTTGAAAATTCGACCCTTTTTAAATAAGGGTGTAAGCCCTAGATTGCAAAGTCAAATAAGGGTCTATTTTTTTTACACCATGAGGGAGGGAGGGGAACACATGAGGGAGGGAGGGGAACACATGAGCATCACTCTTCTTGTCTCGCATGGCTCAGCAGTTTGTATATAGTGCCCTGCCGCCATGGCGGGATTAGAACCCGATGCTCGAACTCTCGTCGCGATTTTCAGGAAGCACATGCCAGGAGGACCAAAATCTGCAGACTACTTGCAGCCGGACCCAGACATTCTGTGCGCAAGGCTCGAAGATCTCCTCATGGACATATGCCGCATTCAGAGGCGCAAGACTGGCAAGTTCCTGCAAACTTGCATCAAAGAAGCTTGGGCCTTGAGTCATGGCGAAGTCAAGACTTTTGCTCAAAGACTTCAAGCAGGGCTTGGCTGAGGTGCCAAACGCGTCTGAGCAAGGCACCTCCAAAACTTGTCTCCAGAGCAAGTCTCCAAGCTACGAGAAGTTTGGCGTGGACACTGTCCCAGAGTTGGCAGCATCCAGCAGTTCCCAGTTGGTCCCCATTGAGGTTTGCAGCTCCCAAGAAATTCTCGCAAGCCAGGCGTCGGCAGCGCCCCCAGATGTCAACTACAAGCAGTACACTTGTTCGCACGCCGTGGCCCTCGTTCGACTCTTTCCTGACGGCTCCCAAACAACTGCCACCATGAAGGTGGGCCCGGGAAGCTTTGCCTTGGGCTGTTTTTCTAGCGAGGAAGAACACGAAAGTGAGATTCCTCAATTCCATGGTGTTGGCCATGGATCCCAAGGTCAAAAAGCTGCAAAGGCAGCTGCAAAGGCAGCTGCTATGGCCTTGAAAAGGCCTGCCAGCCGGCAGCTGCCCCTGTTGGCCTTCCAAAGTGTAGTGATGCCTCGAATCATTTATTTGCTGTCATGCACTATAAGAACAGCAATTCGTACGCCATTCGTGCAAAGACTGGCACCAAAGCCCAGCTCTTTTGTGTCCCCTTTGGTGAAAGGACTCCACAGCAAGTTTTTGGCATTGTCAAGGATGCTGTGGCTAAGCTCACCGCTGGAGACGATGTCCAAGCTGTGAAGGAGTGGGCACGATCTGCGTAGAACACGGTACACTGTGGTCCAAAACCTGCACTTGTTTTTTGGGGAATGCGCATGTTCGAATGTATATGTGAACGCATCTGCAGTGTGTGTTGTTGCAAACAGGCCAGGCTGTGTGAACACATGCGATTTCAACTGACACATTCTTACGTACAAAAGGAACAAACGACAAACCACCACAATGTTTATGAGGGAGGGAGGGAGGCGACCTTGGTGGGAAGGATGGTGGCCTGAAAGTGTTCTGTTTTAAAATTGTTGCAAACCAACCATGTGCAGGAGGGAGGGAGGAGCTAAATTGTTGTAACATGACCCCAATGGTGTTTTTTAGAAGGGATGATGTTGGAATAATTTGTAGCTGTAAAAGGGATTGTCTAAGGGGGACTGGGCGGCGCTTGACACATGCTTGGTCGCAGTTTGCTTGATGCATGGCTCATGTTGGAAACCTGTTGGCTCATGTGAGCGATCCTGAGCTGTCTCGGTGCCATCAGTGTCTCGGTGCCACCATGCCTTCCCTGAAGAGGCCTGCCAGTGCCCCTGCAAAAGCAAAGTGCAAGGCCAAAGCCAAGGCCAAGGCCAATGAGCCCCAGGCCAAAGCTGTGCATCCATTGGTTTGGAGCAGTTGCAAGAGAGCATGGGTGGGCCTGATGGCTTTGTGCCTGCAAACCCAAGCTTGGCTGCCATACATGCCACTGTGACAGAGGCATGCCAGGAGGCTTTGGCTGTCAAAGCTGCCTGCTGCTCCTCGCCCATGGTGCCCTAACCAGTGGACCGAGGATAACCGGACCTGGTGGCGTCCTTGCAGGTTGTGCTCTAAGAGGTACTACTGGCGGGTCGGCTGTATGAGCACAAAGTGCGTTTCAGGGACTGGGACTGGGAGGGAGGCACTGCAAGAGACGGACTGGGAGGGAGCTGAAACATGTTTTTCCCTGTTGTCTCAGGCTGACGAGCTGGCCAAGGACAAGAAGAAGGGCAAGAAGAAGTGGAGCAAGCAAGACTGGATCGACCCTGAACTGAAAATCATGGGGGGAGGATGTGGTCACTGAAAAATAATGCAAAACAAGACAACCTATAGGGAGCCCGAAGGAAGGAGGGAGGGAGGAAGGGACGGCAACTTGTAATGCCAACATCCCAAGCTGCCACCCGAGGACTGGGATGCAGCTACATTTGCTCCTGGAGGTGTTTGGGATGGCTCTGGACCTTCCAACATGGCAACCTGTCTGCATTTCAGTTGTTTTAGAGCTTGCACTTGGCACCCTGAGGGAGGGAGGGTGGGGTGCCAAAGACTAATTAATTCATAGAAGCACATTTATGCAAGACCATTGTACAGCATGGTGAGGGAGGGAGGGAAAAAACCACCATGATACCTGCCAGGTACGACCTGTACCTCCTCCTGTGCCTCCTCCACCGAAACCGCCAGCGGTACCACCTGCAAGGCCACCAAACATGAAATTCGGAGGCTTCAAAGCCATGCCTGTCCCCAAGCCGGTTGTGAAAGCACCTGCAGCCAAAGCTATGCCAAAGACCACTGACCACCCCCCAAAGCCTGTGGGGTGGTTTTTGGTCAATTCGACGGTGACAGTGGCAGAAGTTTATGATGTGGCCGACCAGCCTGCCGCTCCCATGTTGCCTCCTCCTCCTACAAGGAATGAGGTATCGTGCGTATGCTGCAGCTATGCATAGGCAGCATCAGCAGGAGTAATTGGCATGTGCAGTTGGCAATATGGAAAAACACATTGCATGCTGGCAGGGTGTCATGCCAAATACTTGTATGTTGAGGGAGGGAGGGATGGATGGAATGAGGGAGGGATGGAGGGAAGGGGAAGGGAGGGAAGGGAGGGAAGGGAGGGAAGGAGGGAATGGATGGAGGGATGCTAGTTTTGTTTTTGAAAAAAGCACTCGAACTTCAAATGCGCAATATTTGAATGATCTCAATGGGCACCATTTCATGCAAACCTTTTGGGAAAAACTTTGGTCCCTTGTTGGTCCTTGGTTGGTCCATTGTTTTGATCCATTGTTTTCACTCAATCAAGGGAAATGTACACTCATTTTTTCATTGGACTGGATCACATTTTTTTATATTCATGAAATATTGGCAGTTGCAAAATGTTTGAAACAGGTCCCAAACAGTCCTAGGGAACTGCCATAGCATGTCATGTCAACATGATCTTGAGGATTTGATAGGGTTTGCGCAGTGACTGGCATCCACCAAGTCTGTGTACAATGCCAGTGCTAGAATGTGATGAATGTGGACTGGAGAAAAAACATGGTTGAAAAAGTTGAAAATTTTCAACTTTTTCAACTACATGTTAAATGTAAAGTAAAGGAAAAGGGAGTTGAAAAAGTTGAAAATTTTCAACTTTTTCAACCCTGGTTTTTTCTATGAAGATACCCCACTTGTCCGCCGACATTGCTCGGCGTGTCGGACACCTAAGAGAGGATAGAGGATAACCCCCCCCTAACCCCCCCCCCACCCGACGTCTGATACGTGGGGAGGGGGGGGGGGCCCCCCCCCCCGCCCCCAAGGACCGCGCGGCAATTTGATGACGTTCCACTAAACGTAGTCTTCGGGGAGCCGGTGTCGCAAAACAGGGGTCCCAGGCTCGAGTCCCCCTGCCGGCTCTTTGCTGGTTTGGGGTTCCTGCCTCCTTTTGCAGAAAATCTGGAAAAACTCTGTGTTTTTGGACGTCCTAATTGTGAAAACGCTGGAAAACCCGTGTTTTTTGCTGGAAATATTGGGGAGCAGAGGGGAAATGCAAGGAAGTGCAAGTGAAATGAGGGGAGGAAATAGGAAGTCGACATGACAGGAAAGCAGCGGGACATGAAAGGGAAACAAAGGGGAACTGAAAGGGACATGCAAGGGACAGAAATGAAAACAAGGGGAGTGCAGGGGAGCGAGCTGC